CTGAGGATAGCTTTGTTTAAATCTGACGGGTATAAACATATTCGCACTTTTTCCTTTTTAGCCACCACCATGTGACTTGACCAAGAAGTTGGCTCAGTTACCTTTGCAATAACTCTGTCACCTTCCATCTTCTGGAGTTCTGCTTGAACACGGTCTTGTAGGGCCACAGCGATTCATCTTGCTGGCTTAACTGTACGTTGAGCATCAAACTGCTGCATTTTGGCAGCAGTGGCGAACTACGTTCACAGCGTCTAAGGCATTTTTTCTGCATTCTTGCCGCAGATCACTTCTGCGCAGCCTGCACAGCGCACCCGATTTTCCTGGACAGTTGGACACGTGTCGGCCGATTTTCACCGACTCCGTGCAGCACAAGGGGGCGTTGACAGCGGCCGCGTCAGTGTTTCTGCGCGAGTGCGACTGCCATAAAAGCACCGTCTCAAGCATCGAGGCCTTCATTTGGCAGCAGTGGCGAACTACGTTCACAGCGTCTAAGGCATTTTTTCTGCATTCTTGCCGCAGATCACTTCTGCGCAGCCTGCACAGCGCACCCGATCTTCCTGGACAGTTGGACACGTGTCGGCCGATTTTCACCGACTCCGTGCAGCACAAGGGGGCGTTGACAGCGGCCGCGTCAGTGTTTCTGCGCGAGTGCGACTGCCATAAAAGCACCGTCTCAAGCATCGAGGCCTTCATTTGGCAGCAGTGGCGAACTACGTTCACAGCGTCTAAGGCATTTTTTCTGCATTCTTGCCGCAGGTTGGTGCAAAGACTTTTACTGTTCCGTTTATATTTTTCAAAGATACATTGTCACTGCTGCCAAGCTGCGTCATTTCTGTTATATTTTGCCGTGTGTTGTGTGTTATTTTTGTTACCCGTAGTTTCTTTTTGTCATGTCGAAAGAAATTGCAAAGATTAAGGAAGATGTCAAGAACGATCTCTTGAAACTAAGAGATGAGTTTAAACAGGAAATGAAGATGTCGCGGGAATCGTTCGAGAGGGAACTCAGAAATGAAATGCGTGAATTTCGAACTGAACAACGCAACGTTGCTCAGAGCCTTGAGTTTGCTTATAAAACTATAGAGGATTTGAAAATCCAGCTGGCTGCTGCAGCAGCAAAAAATGCTGAATTAACCACGAGAAACAAGGAACTGCAGGTGAAATGCCAGACTCTTGAGACCCATACAGGGGACCTAGAGAGACGGCTGGTTCACCTAGAGCAGTATTCCAGAAACTCAAACATCGAAATTCAGGGTGTTCGAAAAGAAGAAAATGAGGATGTTCTGAGTGTCCTCTCAAAAATCGGGGAGGCTATTGGTGAGCCTGTTCAGGGGTCTGACATAGAAACATGTCATCGGGTGCCTACCCGAAATCCGGACCGCAGTAACATTATAGTTCAGTTTAAGTCTCGGGCGAAACGAGACCTTGTACTAAAAAAAGGAAAGAAGATGCGCATCCGCAACAATGACATCGGAGTGTCAGACTCTGCGCAGATCTACATAAATGAGCATCTCTGTCCTGCTCTGAAGCGTCTTCTAGGCATGGCAGTAAAGCGCAGGCATGAAAAGCACTGGAAGTCTGTTTGGTGTTTCAGTGGTAAAATTTTTGCGCGGAAGTCTGATGATTCAGATGCCATACAGATATCTCGCGAAGCTGATCTTGAAAAAATAAACTAGTAGAAGTATCACGTCCTGTACAGAAAAAAAAAGGATCGAAATGAACTACCATAACCTTGCTCTACCACAAAATATCTCGCTACATTGTCGATTGCAGAAAACCACTTTACATCTGAATGCACGTTCCGCAGTTGGGAAAAAAGATGACATTACTTGCTTTATCAACCAGTTCTCGTTTAAGTTTGACATAATCATGATGACAGAGACATGGTACTACGATGGCTGTGATATGCTTCGTCTGGACGGTTACTCGCGATTTTTTATTAATCGTCCGAATCGCCGAGGAGGGGGCGTTTGCATCTTTGTTGACGCTTATCGGACCCATGAACTTGTTTCCGATTTTTCTGTGATTACGGATGACTTTGAATTTTTAACACTTAAAACTGACTCAGAAATTGTTGCTGCTATTTACCGTCCCCCAAATGGGAACATCGTGAATTTTCTTAATTTTTTTGAGTCTTTCTTAGAATATATCAACTCAAACAAATATCGGTTTGTGTGCGGTGGTGATTTTAATATAAACCTTTTGGAAGACACTCAAAGCACGTGCGAGTTCATATCGTGCCTTCACTCATCTGGATTTACAAATCTAATATCAACGCCAACTCGTATCACAATAACCAGTTCATCACTGTTAGACATGATGATTACGAATGCTGACACACTTGTTTCTAACGCCGGTACTATTTCATCAGACATAAGTGACCACTGTCCAGTGTTCATGCAATACAGTTCCTCAAAAACAGAAAAGAGGCGTCAACATCAGACTGTACAAGTACAAAATATCACTGATGGGTCACTGCAGGCTTTCAAGCGTGCCGTTAGCATGCATGACTGGTCTTTCGTTTATATGATTAGAGATGTTCATGAAGCGTACTTAAAATTTATAGAATCTTTTACAAATATCTACCTCACTCATTTTCCTTTTAAAACGTTTAAACCGTCAAAGAAAATAAGAAAACCTTGGGTCACATTTGCTATTAGGCGTTTGATAAATCGAAAAAATAAGCTTTTCCATGCATTCTTGAAATCGCGAGAGGAAGAATTACTACAGCAGTATAAAGCTTTCAGAAATAAACTAAACAGCGCTCTTCGAAAGGCGAAGATAGCGTATTATGAAAAATTGTTTTCTGGTATCTGTACAAGGTACCCCGATGCAGCTTGGAAAGCAATAAACAGTGTTTTAGGACGCCACAAGGCAGACTTCATGCCACGTGAAATTACGTTAAATAATCGTGTACTAACTGGTGCACTACTTGCCGATTCTTTCAATAAATATTTCACTTCTGGTATACCGCCAGTTAAGAATACCCTGCAAATGACTAGCTCAATTATTAGAAATGCTGAAAGCATATTTCTCAACCCGGCAGACGAACCAGAAGTATTCAGAACATTTATGAGTCTTAAGAATAGCAGTGCATTAGATATTGACAATCTTCAGATCGGTCCCATAAAATTTGTTTTAGAGCATTTAGCCCCTGTACTTGTGTGCATATTTAATTTAGCAGTAGAGTCCGGGGAATTTCCCCGTGAAATGAAGCGCTCTCGTGTGTCTGTTCTGTTTAAAGGTGGCGACAAAAACATGCTGGGAAATTATCGCCCAATATCGATTATTCCGGTGTTTGCTAAGGGTTTCGAAAAAATGCTACATTCCAGATTATCCAACTTTTTCACTAGAAGTGACATTATAAGCGACGCTCAGTTTGGTTTCCGTAAAGGAAGGTCTACGGAGTTAGCTTTGTTAAGGCTAAAAGAAATTATTTTAGAGAACATCGAAAACAGGCTATTTACATTAGGTTTGTTCATTGATTTCACCAAGGCTTTCGATTCCATTGACCATAGCACGTTACTTCTTAAGTTAGAAATCTATGGTGTTCGAGGCACTCCCCTGGCTTTAATAAAATCATATTTAGCAGAACGATCACAATGTGTGTGTTTAGGTAACCATCACTCATCTTCATTGCCTGTCAGTAGAGGTGTCCCGCAGGGAAGTGTATTAGGGCCCCTTCTTTTCAATGTTTTTATAAATGATATTGTTAATATCAACAAGTCGGTAAAATTTATAATATATGCTGATGATGCCACGGTCTTGTTTTCCGGCGCAGATACAGATAGGTTGATAGAAAGTTGTAATCGTTTCTTTTGCAATATTACATCATGGTCACTATCAAATAAACTTAAAATTAACCCTAAGAAAACGAAGGTTATAATATTTAGAGCTAGAAATAAATTTCTGAACGTTAAACAAGATATTATTTGTGCAGATCAAAAATAGATATTGTAGAAGAACATAAAATTCTCGGTGTAACATTTTCATCTCATCTAAGTTGGGACTCTCACGTAAGTCATTTATGCAAGAAACTTTCTTTTACAGCAGGAGCTCTGTCGCGTTGTCGAGAAATTCTCCCTACACAAATAAAAGTCAGCATATATCAAGCACTGTTTCAATCACATATAAGTTACTGCAGTCTGGTTTGGCTTACTACAACTCAACGCAACATCAACAGAATATTGGTTTTGCAGAAGAAAGCTGTCCGTCACATTGCCAACACTGGTTATTTATCACCGACATCGACATATTTTCGCAAGTACAGTATAATTAAAATCCAATATATGTACGAGTTCCGTATCCTACGATCATTTTACATATGTTCTTCTTCATTTAAACAATTTATCGAGTTAACTGCTGCACTGCAACGCAACAGTCATGCTATCAATACTCGTAATGTAGGAGGATGGCTCATACCGCGCTTTCGCACTGACTATAAACTGCAGTCATTGAAATATAACCTCCCATGCATTCTTAAAAAGCATAATCATTTACATAAACCTGCGCTAAATACATTACGTGAAATATTTCTGAATTACTAATGTATTTCAATTATTTGTTAATGTTGTACTACATTTCACTGTATATTGTTGTATATGATTAGCTATCATGCTTTCTATTATTATATTGTGTTGATATTAGTGTTTCGTGTAGTTTACTGCTAGAATTACAGGTGTACTATTGCTTGTACTATTACAGGCGTACTATTGACTGTGTTCCTTGTACTTGTAGTATTAAAAATTTCTTTTCTGTAAATAAATTTTGGTATTCTGTTGGTCTTGTTCGTTGTTAGAGATGTGTTTTAGTCAAAAAATCATTCCCTGTTACGCTTACACAGATATTGTTATATGCTTTGTTTTTGTAAATATTTTTGTACAATGTGTGATATATCTTGTAATTTGGTGCAAATATTTTTACCGGTCACTTGTTGCCATGTCATTGGTCTTCTGGGCCCTAGTCAAGCTGTTTCATTACAGCTTTTAGCCCAGGAGACCATCCAGAATGTAATGTTTTCGTTTATTCTGGAAATAAAAGAAAAAGAAAAGAAAAAGAAAAACTTCAACTGCATATGGTAGATGATTCCCTTGAGTTCTCTTAGGCTTTGAAAAACATCTTCAAACTTAGGTTGATTGCTGCCGGCCACCTTAATTGAAGCTATGCGGGTTATCATGCCAAGGCGTTCAGCCACGCAGCCACTTATTGTCAGTGAGACCTCCGGCTTGACGAAAAATTCTGTTTTGGTGCACTTTCCTTTGTGGTTGATAGGGAGCTCAATCTTTTTTGATGCGATTCCAAAAAAATGTGCACAGAGTAGCCGACCATGGCTGCGCCGGCGACTTGCATGTTATTCGCCTGAACACTGCCTCGGGCATCACACAGCAGTTGGCAACAGTGTCAATCTTACACATCACGTACATCCTTGCAATAATAACCGTTGATGATTAACGATCAACTCGATCCACCGTATTGATTTACAATGTCTGAAAGAACAGTTCTTCCTCTTGTGCTACTTGAACTTCTTGTACACTTGGTCTTTCGTTGTGTTGTTGTGACTGTGGTCCTTGACACATACGTGCGAAATGAATGTGGCCTCCGCATTTGGGGCATTGCTTGCCCAGAGCAGGACAGTTTCCAGTCTTGTGGTTATCGAAACCACATCTAAGCAACAGTTCACTTTTGATTTCACTGCATCAATACCGCTGGAGCACCCATCCTGTATTTCAGTGAAACTTTCTTTGCCTTGCTCACTTGCACGACAGATTTCGACAATTTTCATATAAGGCAGATTTTCCAACACGGGTTTCTGCTGAAGAATATGGTCATTGATTCTAAGAATGCAATCTGCTACAATGATTAAGGGCATGTCCAACACTATTTGCATGGCTGAACCACACACTGGATAACAACAAAGTTTGGTATATGAATGCTCAAGCATGTGATGCAGATGACAGTCTTGTTAATTAGATTTTCAGTTAAGGTGCCAGAGTCTGAAACGTTCATCCCATTAATGATGCACAATGGACACAATGAATGCAGACATTCAGATGTACACTACCAGGCATCGACTCCTTTCTTTTTTTCGTTCAACTTGTCAATGGCATCTGCTCATCTTTGAAGGTGCGAGATGGTGGATGCTGCTTCCATGAATTGCCACAATCACCGGCATTGCTACGATTCCAAGTGTTGCCGCATGTGATTTTTTAGATACCGTTTGTTATTGTAACCAAAAGAGCAGACTTTGCACTTGAAAGGCATATCCCTTATGTGGTTGAGCTTGTGCATATGCAGGTTTGCCTTTTTTTTAGTTGTATATGCGCACATGTTGCAGGCGAAAGATGCAGTGTTCGAGTGAGCTCTCTTGTGTTCCAACAGCTGCGTGTTGTAGGAAGTCGTAAATGGGCAAAGATGGCACTGGTATAGCACTTCTCCCGTGTGTATGCACATGTGGGCTTTGTAGGACTCCAAGCTCTTGAATGCCTCTGGACAGACCTCACACTGGAAAGGCTTTTCTGCGCTATGTGATAACAGATGACGTCTCAACTTATGAAGCTTAGGAGTGGAGTATTGGCAGCGATTGCAGTGAAACATCTGCTTGCATGCCACTGCACTGTCTGTGCCATGTTCCATTCCACTCTCAAACTCAGAGGGCAGGCTTCCAGCCTGGCTGCAACTTGTTCCTGTCCTTATGCTCTCCATAGTTGCTGCTGATGGAACTGCAATTCATAAAAAAAAGAAAAACTTGACACACTTTTTCACTTTCAAGTGATGTTACCTACATAAACAAGATTATGTACACTTGTGCTAGCACTTCATTATATTCAGGTCTTTTATGTTCAATGCCCTATGACTAGTTCCAGTCCAAGTGTATGACTGAAAATTTCCTTCTATCAATGACACCCCCTTCTTTTGACACCAGTTTTGTGTCTTACAGTGAGATGAAGTCGAAAAATACAAGTTTTCTTTTTCAGAATTGAAATTCTTCATTTTTAATTGCATTCACAAGTTTAGTTTTTCTACTTCCACAACAGAGAACTTTGTTATAAGCAATATTTCATTATATCCGAGTTTGTTATATCGAGGTTCGAGTGTAATTAAACCTAAAGTATGTTATATTCTCTTTTAAAAAAACACAAGGTGGCTAATACAAACTGAAAAAGAAAAGAGCTTAATGCCTATAGTCATCCCGATATTGTCACCTGGCGGCTTGCCATTGTATTTTGCATGAGGAGTTCACTAAAGCCACACACTCAAAATAACAGTGATTGGCAAGCTGTTATGATCGGAAAAAAGCATTTTAAAAACATATCTCTGCCGCATAGATGACTTTTGACTTCCACCTTTAAAATGTGGTTCTCTAAAAATCCATTTTCGGGCGACTTTTTGAGTTGAAGCATCATTTTTCTGGTACTTCTGATAGCCACAACAGGATGAAGTATTGCCCACATATTCATAAACATGTGAAGGCTTCAAGTATCTCCATCAAATATTTGTATCACCAATATAGTTATTACGAATCTAAAGCAAACAATTAATATAAGTTGATGATTGTAGGAATTCTCACATTATCATTTTTTTTGTCATTAAAAAGTATTATACACTCTTTATATATTTGTGGCTATTTGCATTTTATAGTTAATGTGGAGCAGTATAACCCTGAAGTGGTTCAGAACCATAAAAGTTCAGAGGCATAAGAGGTTTGTCCAAAACGAACTATACTCTACACATCCTAATGTTACAAAGTGAGAACCGTCCAGCTTACTATAAAACTAATTACATACTAGTTGAAAACAATATAAAAGCTTATTATATACAACAAAATAATTTATTGCCCTAAACTACAGCTTACTGAAAAATTTTTCTTGAATGCATCTGTACTTAATAGACAAATATGTTTCAAGCAACTAGCTCATGAGCTTTGTTGCATTATTAATACAAAACTGTTAATGTCCAAGCTTTTACTCTGTAACACTACAGCCCAAGGATGATAGTAAAGCAGCCTTAAAAGTAACCGGCCGATACTAGATGGAAGCATCGAGCGCAGGCCAAATGGCACCTTGAAACCAGAACTAAGGGGGGTACTCTGTGCATTCACTCTCTCCATTGTGGGAGCTTGCAGTGCGCAGTTGCAAACACTACGTATACAATTATTAGAGCAGGTTTCCTTAGTGCAAACGGCATTACCTGTCCACCCCGCTGTCACTTCGTACGTTATATGCTGTCAGCTTTAAAGAGTGTAAACATCTTTCTGGATGTAAATACATTGAGCGTCCTAACCACTCGGCTATCCAGGGCCTTAGGCATGCTGGCAGACCATAACATAGCCTTGAATATAGTACAGTGTAGGGGAGAGTGGGAAAGGCGAGTTAGTGTGAGGATAGACGTCGTGGTATTACCTATTCTTTGCCATCAGAAAGAGTAAGAGATATATAAATGGAAACAAATGCACAACAATAAAAGAGAGCAAGAATGATGAAGGAAGCACAGTTTCATCTAGAGACTGGGTACTGCACCACCTGGTCAATCCACACATGTGCAGTAGCTGCTGGCCACGCCAACCAACAAGGACATTGTGCACAACCTTTTCTCTATGATGCTTAGCCTGGCTGCACACAATCATGCCCAGGTATTTATGAGTTGCACTAAGAAAATGCCCTAGGACGACGCCGCACATCTCAAAGCTAGACATGTCGGTCGACAAGAAGTACAAGCAGCGACAAGGTTGTGCTTCATTGAGCCAACTTTTGCGTGACTTGATGCAAGGTTCCCGAATTCTTTTTTTACCAAGAAACCTCTGATAGTTCAGATTATAAGCAGCTTAGTTTACCAGGGAAATGTCTTGAGTGATAGACCAAGTCATCACTGGTGGCCAGTACCGAAACTTGATACCATTAGTCAAAGCTGACAAGCCGCAAGGTTCAATGGCAAGCTTAGCTATAGTAAATAAATATGTTGACAATCTTCATACTGGTCTGCTGGTCACTTTTGCTATAAATAGACAGCTCACTCATCTGTTGCAGATGCTGCCTCTCTTACGAAATGCAGCAACTGAGGTTGTGAAATCCTTTCCAGTAATGTGCCGACTGCCTGCTGTAGTTAATGATGACAATATTCCATGGACATCGGCACTGGTCAATATAAAATGTAGCGCTCCTATGAAAAACTGTTACAATGTTACTACTGTTTGATTTCCTTTAACAATTTCCAAACTTTTTGCACTTAACGGCACCATTGCCATTTCTCAGACATGGGTACAAGGTACGTACAAATTTCTGTTGGGAGAGGCAGGGGAGCCATTTCTTGTAGGCCACACTGGATCGACACGTCCCTTCGCACTTCCCAATCCAGCAACTGGCTTGCATCATTCGTGTCGACCACTTGACCACAAGGGCACCTCCTCAGTAGTACTCCTCTGACAGCGACTGCAGGCAATGTTTAGAAGTATAAGATTAATTCCTCCCTTTACAGTGGAGAGACATCACAGCTGCACGGTGGAACTATTATGAACAAACCTAGCACAGGTGACAATGGTGGCTCTGATCAATACACCAGCAGGAATGCTTGTATTGATTTGCATTGTGCTGTTTGCATAGCTGCCTAACATTTGGAAAGTTTCTGCTATCCAACAATTCTTCATGCACACAGTACCCCCGCATTGACAAAGCTTATCTGCCTGACTGTGTGCATACTCTTCCACACACATATATATATATATATATATATATAGTGATCGCCAGAATGTTTTCTAATCAAGAAACCTAATTTACAGCACTAGCAGTCATTGAAGATACAAATTTAATTTCATGCTGCCAGTGAGTTGCACCAGCAGTTGTATAAAGGCTGGCTGTTTAAGGAGGACAGATACATTGGCCAGATCAAATGTGCTGCATGACTATCAGCAACCTTTTGTGTTGCACAGCAAATGTTTGTGCACAACAAAAGCTGGCCACTATGAGCAAGTCTTCACTCTTCATGAACGCAAAGCAGTTGCTGTGATCCAAGCATGTTGCAATGTTGTTTTTTAAAAACATGACAAATGCAGTGCATGAATGTGCTGTCCACATTTTCTCATGCACATTAACCCACAAAAGCCACAAGGCAGACAAAAAGGCACTGAATAGAGATAGCTGAACAAAAAACCATGCGGCTGCTCTCATTATTAGTTTATCACAAGGCTTGATAACAGTGTTTCTGAATTGTGTTATGCAGTTAATAGTCACTTTGTCTGCCCATGTATGCTGAACAATGAACACACAGAGATGCTTAAGATCGAAGTTATTTTCAAGTTGAACACGTTATTGAAGATTTTCGAAATTATGGTTATCAAGCTCTGCGAAACACAGATCAACTGTCATTAAACATCTTCATTTTGACATTTTTAATGCTTCTTTATTTTAATAAAAGCAGGCAAAGCAAGTTTTCCAAATGCCTGTCATTACGTGAAATCCCTTTACCCCTTCGCAAGCCAGACACTTTTCTAGCTCGACAACAAGTGCCACTAGGCTCTCGGCTAACAAATTCCATGCTGCTACTCATGAGCATCGGATGAAATGTCAAGGGAAAGCAAGGCCATTGTTCTGCTCAGCACAAATGAAGGTGAATCGGCACATCTTAGGCTGGAAAAGGTAATAAAAATTGGGGGACGCCTAAGCATCGCTTCCTATTTAGGAGTTGAACACGATAGTGACATCATGTCCCTAGTGCTCAACTACATTGTGCATACTTTTTATTTTATGATGTTACTCAAGAAGTCTAAATTGAGAAGTACAACACTGAAATCAATAAAGTTAAAAGTGGCTTGTGTCAGTAAAGCGTTCGCATACAGCTGCATTCTGTGTGATAGGCAGCATGCTTTAAAGCACTGATAATCATGCCCGTAAGATGTTTTCAAACTTCCTATGGTTCCACTATGTGGTCTTGAGGGAATACGTGCAGCAACGTCTGAGACTTTTGCAATCGGCAGCCAGCTTTAAACCACAAATTTCTCATGATAATCACATGTTCTGATGCCCAATGTCAACGTACGCTTAAATCACACAATATTACTGCAATATTACATTTAGTATTGTGAAGCCTGCATACAGAATGCATATCGTTTTTGTAAAGCACAAGTTATTTTCACTGGATTTTCAAGCAGACTGATGCATGGCTGTGAGGTAGAATAGCTGCTTTCCACGCAAACAGCCTAGGTTCGACCCAGAAATTTTTATTTATTTTGTGGCATCTTTCTGTATTTTTTTCGTCACAAAAAAGATGATTTTTCGCCCACAACTAAGGGCGCCGACACCGATGCCACAATTTCTGTAAAACAATCTCTTTGAGGCCATCGTGTTACATAAATGTGCCCTGCGTTGCAAAACTGACTGAGAGGTTATTAACCGCGTATAACAGTAAAGATTTAATGATAGGGATCATATGCTCCTTCACTTTTTTGCACCATGAGGTGCCAAAAGTAATTTTTCACCACTTTAGCGAAGTGAAAATTGAAATCCACATTTAGCGAGGAAGAACAGAGTTTATTTTAGCCAATAGAACAATGTTTTTATCAGTGAGGCCATGCAAGCCCACGTCCCTTTAACGCAATAGGCACCGGACAGTGGACCAGAGGGCGCGACGAAGCTTTTTGGGCTGCCTCAACATTGTTGGTACCGACCGCCAGGGATACCAAGAAAATGAAACTCTCGCTGAACACATTGAGACGCTGAAGTGTCAATGCCCTTTATGGCGCATTTTCAAAGAAGGCTTCCTGGATGCTTACATAATCAGCCGCGACCCCCCTGCTCACAACTAAAAAAGAAAATGTTATGCATGGGTAAGCTCGGTTTTGCTGCATCTATTGACTGGGCTACGCATTGGAAGACTCGGTTTTGCTGCGCCTACTCGCTAGGCTGTGTGTTCTGGCGCTATATTTAGATCTCTTAAACTACATTGCCGGGTGCCTATAGCATTACAGACTATGAGACGCAGCAAATACGGTGCCAGCAATGTTGTGAGTCAGAAATCCTGATGAGCGCAATGACTAATAATGATGACTTGAGCCAGATTCGAAGCCTGGGAATTCTGCAGGGCAGTCAAGTATTGAATGCAAAGCACTTCCTTGCGTGCCTTGCGCACTTTGACAGTTTCTCTATACCTGCTTAGCCGCCTGTGAGTGCGCTCTCTAGGTCATTTTCTTGGCATTGTATGTACCAATTTTAGCACAGGAGGACATTAGCATATCACAAGTACAATTAACTAGTCGTTACATGAGTAACATAATATGGCAGATGCGAATGTCGTGAAACCCTTTCCTTCTGTCTCAAGTAGTACAAACCTGCATACTATGGCCTAAAGATGCCCGTATGTACCACAAGTGATAAACAGGGTATATCAAGGCAGGAACACAAAAATACATTCTTGAGCAGGCAGCGCAAAATAACAGGACACAAGTGAGGATTGATGATTGATTGATTTGTGGGGTTTAACATCCCAAAACCACCATATGATTATGAGAGACGCCATAGTGGAGGGCTTTGGGAATTTTGACTACCTGGGGTTCTTTAACGTGTACCCAAATCTGAGCACACGGGCCTACAACATTTCCGCCTCCATCAGAAATGCAGCCGCCGCAGCCGGGATTTGATCCCGCGACCTGCGGATCAGTAACCGAGTACCTTAGCCGCTAGACCACCGCGGCGGACACAAGTGAGGAAGAAAGAGACAAGACGAGCACTGTTCGTCAAGAATGGTCTTGGGAAACAACATTAAAATGATAGCCTTCAGGAGCCAGTTTCGCCTGAAAACTGGTGCCAGCGTCACTGTCAGTGAGAATTGCCAATGAACGCAGTGGATAAAAATCAATATTTGAGCGCGGACTGAACGCAGAGATTCCTTGTGACAGTCAAGCATACTGCCACAGAACTATGCCAGCCTATCATATGTCAGGGGAACAACGGTGCTTTGAGTGTTGGCTATCCAGTATTGCCGCAATGTAATAAAGATTACACATTACTTCTATGACTTGGGGAGCTGTAGTCAAGCATTGCTCATGGGAATATGCCTAAGATACTAGTTATATGTTGTTCGTCACACCACACTGAGTTGTTCATTTTAATATAGTTATGCTTGTGCTACAATGCGAGTGCCTACTTTACATTGGACAACTGGTTACCCTTTAAGTACCAATATAGCCGATGCGCCAGATAAACCATAGATCAAGTCACGTAGGTGCAAGACATATATTTAATATACACTCATTATGCACGTCCTGGTGCTTGGCACCTAGCAGAAATAAAATATGCTGCCACCATCTTCCCAATAAGGGAATTTAAATAAATGCGTTGTAGAGTGGTGTGGGTATCGCGTGAATGTTGGATAATTGGGTATGGTCTGGGAATACTTAATCACTATTTTGTTTTTATTATTCTTATTTATTGAATGAAGGAGAAGCCTTGCGTCCAATGATTGGTGGGAGGCTGATGTTGGGTTGTGCCCCACTACTGGTTGAAGGTACTGTTGCTTCCATTGCATCTACTCTAGTCAAGCAAAGCGTCAAGTCAAGCGATAGCTAAGTAAGGACGCCCTTAACTGAATTATGAACGCGTGATACAGTGCCTACATATGCGAGGTGGCCAGTGAACGGTTGTGCGGTGCGAGTGGTAGTTTTTTTTGTAGCAGATGCTGCCTTCGTCGGCCTTGTTAGGCGAGGAAGAGGGAGGGGAGCGACAGTTTTGGGGATGTCTTTCCGGGCCAGCACGAGACGTGAGCATGTGCAGTGGGGGTGTACAAAGGGACATCTTTATTCAAAGAGTTGCATCGCATTTAAATTGGTGCCTGCTGCTTCCCGGGGGGGGGGGGGGGGGGGGTGGAACTCGAGTAAATGCGTCTCAGAGTTCTGGGGGTATTGTGTGAATGTTGCGTAATTGAGTATAGTTGAAGAAATCTCGCTGCTCACATTTCGACGCTACTGCTCGTGCCTGAAGTTCAAAATCCGCAGCTTGGAAGTTCGGTTTCACAGAAACGTCAGCCTGCCCGAGTGATGGATTCGCTGGTTGACGTTCACGAACGGTTGCTGGTTCTCGAGAATGGAGTTCAGTATCCACGGCCCATCGTTACTGTTTCGAAGCTGCTTTTCGTCCCCCGAGTGAAGAATCCGCAGCTCGTCGTTGTTGTTTCGTCACTACTTATCGTTCCTCGAGTGAAAGATCCGCAGCCTATCATTGCCGTCTTGCAGCAGCTGCTCGTGCGCCATGTTCTGGGTTTGCAGCTCTCTTCAAATGCTTGCGTTCAGCGTCGTATGCTAGTCTCTTTACAGCTTTGTCTTCTGCCCTGCTTGCTGTTGCAGACGCCAACGACAGTGAGGGTGGGGCAACGTTGCCTTCAACGACTGGTGGGAAGCTGATGTTTGGTTGTGCCCTACAACTGGTTGACAGTACTGTTGCTTCTATCGCATCTACCCGAGCCTAGCATACCGTCCAGTCAAGCGAAAGCCAAGTAAAGGCCCCCTTGACTGAAAACCGAACACACGCTCTGCCCTTCCCCGCTCTCGAGGGAGATAAGTTGAGTGGAGAAGTCCGCAAAGACGCCCTTGAATGAACTCCGCGTTCCAGGAAGGCGAGACGAGCCGAGCAGGCACAGTGGGGGTGTGGACGGTGCCGACGCCGAAGGGCGACATCGTGCGATTAAAAAATGCTCCGCATTTAAAAGTATCCACCACATCACAAAGTGAATGATGTTAGAGAAGCTTGACAATACCGGAGATGACCGGGCAACCAGCGAATCCTTTGTACACATCGCCTACCATCATATATAGAGCAAACTGTACTCACTGCACTCTGGTGTCGGGGCCGATGACGTGACAGCTACAGGGAACTCTCGTTGAACTACTGCGTTGGCGCGGGATTGCTCGATGTGGATGCTGGTGATCACAGTCTTGTTGTCGGAGCGCAAGCGGTCGCATACCTCGCAGCTCTGGTCCAACCTGCGGTGGAATAAATCGGGCCTGACGCACGCGGCGGCGCCGCCTCCGGCAGAGAGCGACCGCTTTAGGCGCTTCGCCGCCGCATCCCGCGCCCGCACTTTATCGAGGTTCTCTTGCCGCCGCCTCCGTTTCGCTTCTGCTTCGCGATATCTCACCGCAGGGTCCGCTTGACGGCGCGCCCGCTTAGCTTCTGCTTCTCTGCGCCGCAGCTCCGGGTGTGCTTGACGGCGAGCCCTCGACGCTTCTGCTTCTCTGCGCCGCAACTCCGGGTTTGCTTGACGGCGAGCCCTCGACGCTGCTGCTTCTTTGAGCCGCAACTCAGGGTTTGCTTGACGGCGAGCCCTCTTTGCTTCGGCCTGCCGGGCTTTCGCCGCAGGGTCTTGACGGCGAGCCCGAGCTGCAGCTGCGTTGCGAGCTCGCCGCGCTGCTGCTATGGCTTGTAGGTTGCTCATGCGGCCGAGCGGTAACGAGTAGTGCTCGCTGCGTGGGCTCTGAGTGGATGATTGGGTAGTGGTTAGAAGGGAAAAGGCACCTAATCTGTCAGCCATAATAAGAATGATTGGGCCGAAGCGGCTGCCAGCGTGCGAAGCGTTCCCGCACGCGCTTGTTGTCACAGAACACCTACCAGTTTTGTTGTCGTACAAATATACCTGCGAAATGACCTCGCTGTATGTGCCGAGAGCCAGAGTTGTTCAATCATACGAGTTGCAAAAGGCTCCATGTACCGAAATCGCAGTGCCAGTTCTGCATTTTATAATTCATACCACAGAGTCCAGCGTAACTATCATTGAAGCCCATGGATTAGAGTGTACTAGAATTCTAGTACACTCTACCATGGATCCAGGACCAGCAGTCGGCTGGATGGATGGATGCATAGAAGAAAAAAAATTCCATAAATGGGTGGATGTATCCGACTATGCTCTTTAAATCGGGCGGCGGCCCACGCCACCTAGCCATGTAGCGGCTCGTTGCGATCGTCGTCATCTATGTGAAAAGAAAATAACAAACAGCAAATAAAAAAATGCGTCATAATTAAATGTGGTGGTGACGTTTGGCAATAGTTTTACATAGTGTGAAATTTAAACTTTTTTTAAAGGCAGCGCCTTCTGCACCGCGTGGGGCAGCAGCGAGCCCCCTACACACAGAGAAAGGAAAGACGCACTCTTTCCTCCTTTCTCCATGCCCACACAAAAGTGGCTTCAGCGCCGCATAAAAGTGACGTCACACTAAAAATTATTATTTAAAGCTATTTAAATGTATGATCTACTATGTATAACGCGTTAAACCAACAAAACATTTTCTAAGCAGCTGTTTGGCAAGTCCTTCAACTTATATTTGTTAACTAAACACATTTACAAGTATTTTAACTACAGGAGGCGCCTTGGGCGCTGCGGCTGCGAAAAGTAAACAGCGCAAGATGGTAGCTGCTAGCGATGTGTGTTGGTGGTGAAAACTGCGACAAAATCGTGGCCATGGCCTAGGCAAAGGCGCTGGCCTAGGCCGCCAAGGAGGACCGGAGACCCTGTGTCGTCGCTGATTCATGTGATTGCTGGATGCCCAACCACTGGCACGCGTATGCACGCGCCTACGCGTCAGCACAGAACGGCACGTTCTCAACTGGAGCGGGAATGTATGTTTTAGAGGATATGAGAACACGTTAACAAGTTGATAGTGCTTCAACCACCACAGTTTAGACTATTTTATAAGTAATTGACATTTCAGTGTGCAAAGTAACTACAGCAGTATGCACCAGAAATCAACATCGGTGCGTGCGCCGCTCCCGCGAATGAACATTCGCGTCTAGCATACTGTACGTCTATCATAGGCGTGTGCAGGGTTCTCCTTAAGGAGGGGGGGGGGAGGGGGCAAAAGTTTGTCCCAGTGCCCCTCCCCAGGGCTGACTTAGCACCCCCTCCCTATTATGTTAATATATGGAGTTGACATTGAGCTCTCTCTCCCCCCCCCCCCCCCTCCTCTCTGCGGTGAATGAGGCATGGCTGCCCTCCTGATCAGGTTTACAAACCACCGGGTTTCTATACCTGCACTACCAAAGTTACTAACAATATCTTGCATATGCTGGTACCTTCAGTATATTTACCAACATATTTTATATCAGTCAACCTAATAATCACGCCTGCAACTTCATGATCTGACAGATTTAAGTCAGTCATAAGACTACAACTGAGGCTAGAGTAGCAGGCTTTCGGCTGATGTGCGTGTTCGAAATATCCTCTAATGCAACAAAGCACACCTGGTTCTTATTGATACAACTGATATTGGCCATAAGATAGGAACCAAATACTGCGTAGAATGCCTTCGGGCATTTTCCATAATCGAAATGTGCTCTAATGCAACTAACTGTGTCTGACACTTCATGATGTGACAGATACCGCTCATAATATTGCAATTGACCCCTGTATGGAAGACTTCTGGGCGTTGTCTTTAGTCAAAGTATTCTCTAAAACGACAAATGACACCCAACTGTTTATGAAGTCACAGATATCGGTCATAATATTAGAACTGAAACCTTATGGAAGACTTCTGGACGTCGTCTTTAGTCAAAGTATTCTCTAACACAACAAACGACACCCAACTATTCATGAAGTCACAGATATCGTCATAATGTTGGAACTGAACCCTGTATAGAAGACTGCTGGACGTTGTCTTTAGCCAAAGTATTCTCTAAAACAACAAACAGGCAGTACACCCAAACAACTCTGTTCCTAAAAAAAAAAAAAAAAAACGCCACTCGCGTTCACGGGGGTTGGGCTTGTTCGGTCACGTCATGCGCACGTGACCCCTTGGTCGAATGCCGGAGAAAGTAGGGAAGAGATTTGGCTTGCAAAGGCTACGCGGCGGAGGGGCAATTGTCGAGCTCGCCTCCTCTCATCCCCGTTTCGTGCCGCTTCAGTAAAACAGTTTTCCAAGCTCGTAATAAACCGATTAAAATTTTTTTTTTGTGGCAAAATGTTCCTCATCGGACAGCCAACAACTTCCATGGTCTAACTAAAATTTGGTATGGGGCCTGGTGAGTGGCCCTTTAGGGCATGGGTCCGTCAATCCTCCTTCAGGCGTAGTTCTGGCACATACTCGCTCTAGCGCGGGTATATGCCACGGCGGATGGGAGATGACGGTACTTGGAGTATTCATTAGATGTACGCGCGGATGGACGGACAGACATCCTAGAATATGGATGGACGCATGGATGGTCGCGTGCACGGACGGAATCAAGAACGAAGGGACGGATGCTTCGCCCCGCTCACCATCATTCACTCCGTGGAATGGAATGGAATGAAAAAACTTTATTTCGGTCCTGCAGGACGCGCTTAGCGCGTAGCGGGCGTCTCCCACGTAGGGACTGACAGGGAGTACCTGGCGGCCGCTTCGTGGGCCTGCTGGACGGCCCATCGCTGGTCGGTGAGAAGTGAGCTCCTGAGGGACCTCTCCCACTTGCTTGAGGTAGAGTCGGGAGGAGTTGTTCTACACTCCCAGAGCATGTGTTCGAGTGTCGCTGTGTGTCCACATGATGGGCATGTGTCGCTGGGGTATGCATCGGGATAATAAACGTGAAGCGTGGCAAGGTTTGGGTACGTGTGTGTCTGTAATAGGCGTAGGGTTAATGCCTGCGGTCGGTTAAGTTTCGGATGTGGGGGTGGAAAAATGCGGCGTTCCAAGCAAAAGTGCTTTGTAATTTTATTGTACGTAATTGGTGCATCCCGATTGGTATCCAACCCAGCAAGATGAGGTTGCCCTGTAGCAGTGCGGTCGGTAAGTGCGCGCGCTGCATCATGGGCGATCTCGTTGAGGTTGGATAGGGCACCCGGCACCTGGCCGAGATGGGCGGGGAACCAGATGACAGTGTGGTGCTTCAGGGCACTCGGGTCCGCATTGCGCAGGATACGTAACGCCTGGTCGGAGATGACTCCGCGTTCGAAGGCTTTGATGGCCGGCCTGGAGTCGCTGTAGATGAATTCCCGTTTGCTGTCGAGCATAGCTATAGCTATAGCTACTTGCTCCGCTACTTCGGGGTTTCGGGTGAGGATTGTGGCTGAGTTAAGAGTCTGCTGCGCGGATGATACCGCGACCGCGGCGAAGGCTTGGTTGTTGCGATAGGCAGCGGCGTCCACGAACGAGACGTTGTCCGCTTCCATGTCTATGCGCTTGAGAATGGGGGTCGCCCGCGCAAGGCGCCTGCCTCTGTTGTATTCGGGGTGTACATTTCGTGGTATGGGAGCAATCGTAATAAGGTCGCGGATTTCACGGGTAATTAGAGTCAACTATGGGGGGTCCCTGGCCCTCGAGGAGAAGAAGCCGAGCTCGCGCAGAATATGGCGGCCCGCCTTGGTTGTAGTGAGTCGGGTCAATTGCACACGTTCCTGAGCTTCGGCGATCTCTTCTAGCGTGTTATGTACGCCAAGCTCGAGGAGTTTGTACGTTGGAGTGGTGATAGGGAGGCCAAGGGCTCGTTTGACCACCTTGCGAATAAGCGCATTGAGTTGATCGCGCTCAGCACGTAGCCACTTGTGTATAGCGGCAACGTACGTAAAATGGCACAAAACAAACGCGTGTACGAGACGCAGCAGGTTGTCTTCTTTGAGGCCATGGTGCCTGTTGGCTACTCTACGTACGAGTCGTATGGCATTCTCAGTCTTAGTCCTGAGCTTGTGTACTGTTTGGGTGTTGGTTCCGCGGGACTCAATGATCATGCCGAGGACCTTGATGGTGTCTACCCTGGGTATAGTACGACCATCTCTGGTGTGGAAGGAGATATTGCGTTCCGCCGGAGGTTTCCACCCTTTGGGCTTGGCACCCCGGCGTTTGGGCAAATATATCAACAGCTCCGACTTCGCAGGTGAGCACCTGAGACCGGTGTGGTCGAGGTAAGACTCGGTGATGTCGATAGCCTCTTGCAGGGCGGACTCAATGAAGCCATCCGACCCTGTGGAGCACCATATGGTTACATCATCCGCATAGATAGTGTGGTTTAGCCCGTCTATTTTTGAAAGTCGTTCGGAAAGCCCGATCATCACGAGGTTGAAGAGCGTGGGTGAGAGGGCGGATCCCTGAGGAGTGCCCCGCTGTCCGAGCTCCACTTCTTCCGACACTAGGTCTCCTACGCGTAGGACGGCTCTGCGCCGAGTGAGAAAAGAGCGGATAAAGTAGTAAAATCGACGACCTAGGCCGAGGGCTGCGATCGCTTTCAAGATTGACGAGTGCGTTATGGTATCGAAGGCCTTTTCTAAATCGAGACCGAGTATTGCACGAGTGGATATACTGTGATTTCACAGATTAGTTTTGGTTGTTTGTCTTTTGCTCACCTAGTCGGGCGTTGATTACACTTGTCGTAGGAAATGTTGTAGGCCCGTAGATGAGGGTGCACGTTAAAGAACCCGAGGTGGTCGAAATCTCTGGAGCCCTCCACTACGGCGTCTCTCATAATCATATGATAGTTTTCGAATGTTAAACGCCACATATCAATCAATCCGAAGTGGGCCATAAAACGGGGGACGCGTCCTACCAGTGCCAGTGGTTGTTTTCGTGTGTGTTTACATATGTGTAATGCGAAGAGGAGAGCCCACAGGACTCTCAAGGACATCAATTACCAGTCGCCAGCGAACAGTTTGAGCTTCGCGGACATTCCCTTTTATTGGTGTCATTCAATAGCTTCGTTTGTTTTTTTTTCATCACCGGCATTGTTTTACTCTTCCACATTTCGCAACTTGAGGCACTACAACGCCTTTCACGGTTTTCTTTTTACAGCGAAAGCTGTTATGAGATCGCAACTCAGGTCTTGTGCAGCGCTGTAGTTGTCCGCCGCCTTCGGTGTCCGTAAACACATTGCGCGAAATTAA